TGAAGGTATTTTGGTGTCCCACGTCTGCCATGGTTGCCGATATCTTGACCAAATGTTTGAGCATGGATTTGTTTCAAAGGCACCAAGGTGCTACAGGGATTTTTGAGGACGAGACCATCCAAAAAGTGCACATGATTTGTGGCATGAAGCTTGATGGTGATTTGTTTATGGACCGCAGCTTTGTCAGTTCGAGCTTGGAAGGTGATTGGATACCGGAAACCGGATCCATGGGCACGTCTGTGGAGAAGGTTCCTGCTGGGCAGAACCAGATGCTACTGCACCATTTTGGTGCAAGACGTGCAAGTGGTTGTTCAAGAATGAAGATGCCTATGGGTTGAACAAAACCCCTGGAGGTTTTAGCTGTGGGAAGTGCAAGAGTGAGATCACCGTGATGGGATCTGCAGCTCAGCATGCTTTCAACATGCGTGAGAAGGATAAGACCAAGCGATGGGGGTCGAAGGGTGAAAGCAAAGGCCCCACTTCAGACAAGGCGCCTATCACACCAGCGCACCAGAGTGAGGGTGAGGTGCCTATCACTCCAGCCCCTAATGGGGCAGTGGAGAGCAGTGGTGGCTCTGTGCAGCCAGATCCACTGTTTCCCTGGTTTTCGGATCTTAGTGATCAGAGGGGTACCCCTGAATGGTACAATGATATGCGTGATGCGGTGTGTCGAAAGGGCAAGCCGTATATCGGGAGCTGGTGGATAAGTTTGAGCGGTTCATCTCCTTGTTGAACGAGGAGGGGATGACTAAGTACAGCAAGGACTACACGTCCTTGAAGCACCAGAACAGAGATCTCTTTACAGCTTGCGAGGAAGCCGGGAGCTTTGCAGCTTTGGAGAAGATGATCATGGTGATTGACCTGAGAGGTCAATTTGGTGGCCAGGCTGCGCTTTGGGAAGTGGTGACCACTTCGGGATGTTTGCTTGCGGAGGTTCCTTTTGAGACCAGTGGTCTGTCCCTAGCTACCTTTGTGTGTGGGTTGTTCCAGAAGGGTGCAACGCTTCTGGTGTTGGTTGGAGATATCCCCGATATCAGTGTTCGCAGGATGATGGAGTTGTTTTCTATGCTGCCAATGATTGGAGCTGAGATTTGTGTCGATAGCTCGGCGCAAAAGGATCAGCATCCTGAGTGGTTGAAGGAGTGGCAGAGAACGGATTGCCTGCCACTGAATGTGGTGTGCAACGGCATCCGCTGGGTTGCGGACTTGATGTGTCAGTCGGTGGCCAACAAAGACCCATATGGTGTGTTGCCACAATGGGCTTTTTTGATTTACTCCAACTACAAGGCAGTCCAGGCTGCTTTGATAGGGCCGACCAGAGCTTTGATGACGTGTGAGGAGACCCGTCCTGTTTTGAGTTGGGAGTGCAATTGCCAGTGGCACAGCACCAATGCTTACGTGTTGAAGCACAAGGTGTACTTACCAGTGCATCTTTTGGTGGGTGTGATTTCGCATTTGCGGATCCACCTGGATGATTTGAAGGAAGAGATGCTTCAGATGGAAGCCTTGGTTGCTATGGAGGTGACGCGCCAGCAGCTTCAGCAGCAGCAGGAGCTCAAGCGGAAGGCTGATGAGCAAGAAGAAGAGGCTAAAAGGCCTAGGGTTGAGGTGCCTGCTGCTCAAGGTGCTGCTCCCTCGACTGGGGGTGTGCCTCAGTTTGCCTTGACGGAAGAGGATTTTCGTCGCATTGCGACTATGGTGACGCAGAATCTTCTGCAGGTGATGCCTATGTTGGGGCAGCCTCCTCCTGGGCCTCCCCCGATGCCTGCTCCTGTACCTACTCCAGTGGAGGTGCCTGTGAGAGCACCTGAAGATGATCAGGCACAGGTTATGGCTGAGCGCATGGAGGAGCTTGGGGAGATGCCGGCAGCAGCCCGTGAGAGGCGTGAAGCCCAGGTGAATGAAGGTGAGAAGAAGGATGATGATAGGGAGACGCCTGGGATTCCGGAAAGGGATCTGAGTGAGACGAGGAGAATCTTGATGATCTCCTGGAGATGGTTGTGGAGACCTCTCGGGTTTTCTGCAGCCGTTTTAAGCCATGGCATTCGGTGCCGCAATGGCTCTTTTGTCTGCGCGGAGGTGCAATCAGTGCATGTGTTTTCTGCCTGAACAACTCTTTTTGTTTTCTGGAGAAGCTGGGATGCAGTCTGGAACGGGAGCTTAGCAACGCTATGCTCACTGGAGCTGGAAGTTTTCTTTACTGGCTGACCAGTTTTCGTGGTCCCTTCGGACCCCTGTCAGGGAACCTGGTGTTTTTCTGCCCTGGAGAGAGACGGAGTTTTTGGGCGAGGTCTTGAAGGAGAACTGAGTGTTTCTGAGAGCCTCGCTAGAATTAGTTTGACACGTGTTTTCACTACGATCTGAGTTCGCTCAGAGTTTGCACGCCTTTTCGATCAAAGATCTTTCTGTTGTGTTTTGCTTCTTCGCTTTGAGTGGCGAGTACGTACCAAGGGAATGTGGCCTGGGCATTCCCCTAGTGCAGAAGGGCCAACTTGGTCTTTCGAAGATCTTTGATGAAGCCCTCAGCAAAATGCGGGGGGTGTAAGATCATGGGCGATAGTCGCTTGTGAAAAGTACTTTTGTCTGTGAGTTGTTCTGCTTCGGGAACGGTTTCAAGGTTTGGTTGGGAATCTTGATGATCCCAAGGTGTAGGAAACCTTCCGTTGTTGTTTTAGAGTACATTTGAGAATCTTGACGATCTCAAAGTGTACTGGATTTTTGGAGAAGCCACAAGGACCCCTTGAAGGATCCTGAGCTTTATGTTTAAATCCCACAAGATTTACTCCGTAAATCTTGGTGTGGTGAATGCCCAATACGCTAATTCGTTTGTATAAATTCGTTTTCGCACTCCGTGAACTTTTGGCTCATGGCTCAAGCTGAGTGAAAAAGCCTTGCAGCTGTCCGCTGTGTTTAGAAGGGGTTTGTTTTTCCAAGGGAAAAGGTCCAGTAGGGACCTTAAGTTTTTCACGAAATGAGACTTTGCTGACTACGTTGTTGCGTTGCAACTTGTAGGCTTTCCAGAACAGATTAGCACGTCTCTGCACGCTGGCCAGAAATCATCTAGGTACACTTGAGTTCAAAAATCAGAAAAATAGGTCTGTCCAAAATGCTTGGAATCCGCAGATAGTGCTTCAGGAGGCTGTTGGGTGCAAGATGCGGGCAGACTTTTTCTCTCTGCCGCGCTGGCGCAGGTAGTCTGACTGCAAGGTGTCCGAAGAAAAAAAAGCTTTACGCGGCTGTTCCGCAGGCAGCTTAGAAGTCAAGATAAAATCGATACATACCTGTGGAGAAGATCAACTTTTTTCTTGTGTCATTACGCAGACAAAAATCGACAAAATTCTGCTCAACGGAACAAAAAAACAAAACACAACAAAACTCAAGACTCGGTTCCGATCCAATTTCGGAGCTGCTTTTGCTGTTTTTCGTCTAGCAAGTCTGGTTCGGAATTCAATCCAGATGGTCCAATCCAAGCTGACAAGATGTTAAATGGACGATCTTTTGGTCCTCTTTTAACAAAGGAAGCATCTTAATTTCTGAGATTACTTTTTTGGCTATGTTAGAAGAACAGCTTTAACATATGTTTGAATTGATGCTAACTGAACTTCTTGTTCCATTAACTTTCCAGATGTACGACATCTTACACTTTGCGGTGTGGAAACAAGCTCAGATTTTGCAACTCACATTCGATGTGCACGCAACTGGAAGTAACCAGATTTCACAAAAAAATGTGTTGGAATGCCAAGATGTCGAACCAAACAGATTGCAATTTCATGAAAATAAGTGCTGCATCAGATGTTTTCTTTCGCGTTGCTTTTGTGTGTAGAATTAAGCTGTTTCTTGTTCGTGAAAATTTTCGCATCAACACGCAGCTCGCATTCGATGCGCACGCGTTGCTTTGGTATAAGAACAAGAATGAATACAGTTGGGAGTCAGTAGATTTCATTTATGTAAATCTGTTTGTATTTGGATTGCTGATGGAATTATACGTTGAAGCTTTCGTGTTTTCAGGTGGGCACGAAAAAGATTGCCAATTCCTGAAGTTAAGATGCCGTGTACGATGCAAGAGAAGCTGGGCTGGTCAAGCCAGCATGTCAAGCACAAGATGTTTGTGTGACGTTATACATAGGTCTTTACAATATGATTGTGAAACCAAATTCGATGTTTCGATACATTGGTTATTTGCCTGTGGCTTGAATAACAGTTTGTGCCTCGCGAAACGGTCCAACATGAAAGTAACATTCGTCGCACAGTACGATTGTAATTTCCAAGCAAAGTTATGACAGTCTGTTGTTAAGTTGTTATCAGTGCAAAAGTTGTACGCCATGAATGTCACACTTTCAACTTACATCTTATAAGTAACATAACCGTTACATTTCGGCCATGGTATGACCAGACGCCTAGGCATTGTAACATTATCGAAAACCTTAGTTTCCTGCTGACTATTCAAAGCAGATCGGCTTCAGTCAAGCATTCGAGCTTGCTTGTTTGGTTTTGAACCATGTATGCAGAACCTGAGACCACCACCGGTCACCAGTTCAACGAAAGTTCTTTGTTGGGAGCGGTTTATGACCGGTGCTTGACACATGTGGATCCTTGGAAGAGCTATGTCAGAAGTTGACATTTTTGCTCGAGCGTGGCGTAGCCACCGCCAGCACTTATCTCGACGAGATTTCGTTCAGCAGCTTAGGCGCGTTGCAGATGTTTCACATAAACAGCGCTTTTGGGTTTAGGGTCTTGGCTTGCATGTCGGAAGCTCGATGTCCTGCTGCCGCAGGGCAGCCCGGACCCCACTAGCGAGGCACGCGGCCATCCTAGCTGCTGAGGACGACGGGAGTGATGGGGCTGCCCCGATGCATTTTCCGATGTACACGATTCCCGCCGATGTGCTGTTGGAGATGACCGAGATCAAGCCTCACGAAGAGCTCATGGCCATGAGTTTGCTGACGGCCTTCGATGGTACACAGGGCAAGGCCGGCCTGGTGTCGCACCAATGGGCTGCCATGCACCACCCGGATCCAGAAATGAAGCAGATGAGAGTCTTCCAAGATGCCCTGCGGCATCTGCTAAGGGACAAGGGGATGGTTCCCCTGGACTGTATCACAGAGACTTTCCTTACATCTGCCAAGGCCATAGCATTGGCGGCCTTCCAGTCAGAACCGCTGTTTCTCTGGTACGACTATTTCTCGGTTCCGCAGGATCGCGACAGTCACGACCAGGCCAAGGCCATTCAGAGCATCCCAGCGTATGTCGCTGCGTGCTCCTTCTTCTTCGCCCTCGTCCCCTACATCGAGGATCAGCCGCTATCGCCGCTGAGTTGGTCTCACCGGGGCTGGTGCAGGTGCCCCGGTGTTGCGAAGTCTGGGGAAAAGATTCGGATCCGACGACATGATGGGCGCCTTTCGGATCGGTAGAGGGCTTCGGGTTCCAACCTAAACCCCTAAACCCCAAACCCTAAACCGTGGGATCTGAAGCCCTCGACCTGACTCTTTGTGAAAGGTCCCTCTAAGGAACCCTTAAAAGGGGACCCGAACTTAGAGCCTCGGGGCTCAAAGCCTCCGGGTGTTGGGGCCCAGGGTTTATAGCAGTTTTTTGGGGGGTTTTTTGGGGGGTTCCTAGGGGCTCAGGGGTCGAAAGGTTTGGGCTTGGGAGGCCCCGAGGCTAAGTTGCAGCATGGCACGTCCACCCATAGCAGGCTGGAAAGAGTCGTCCGAGAAATCTCTGCGGACCACACCTGGATCTTGATCAAAAGCAGCACTTCACTGGAGGTGGTGGGCACTGCGGCATCCTTTCCTATCGGACAGGTGGGCGAAGGGGACTTCACGGTCCCTACAGATGCCGAGAGGCTGGGGCCGGTGATCAGAGGCGTGGTCTTCCACAAGCTGCGGTCCTGCTTGAAGGCACGGGATTTCCCTGGCTACCGCCGGCACCTCAACCTCCAGTCCGTCTACTTCAAGAATTTGCCGGTGGAGCCATTGCAGGACTTCGTTCCGGGCTTTGATGATTTGGAGCTGGGTTCCAGTGCAGCTTCCCCGAGGGAATTGGCGGTTGCCAGGTTCATGCACCAGAACGGCTTCCGCTCCGTGCGCGAGGTCGACAGCGCAGGGTGGACACCGATACACTATGCTGCGCTGAGTGGCAATGCAGAGCTCGTGGTCGGCCTGCTGCAACAGAGAGCAGCGTTGGACCGGCGAACCTCCAAGGGCGAGCCGAAGCTCGGGGTCCCGCCCTTGGTCTCCGCGCTTGAGCTGGCGCTGGCCTACAGGCAGCACGATTCGACCCGCGCGCTGATTGAGGCCCGTGCGCAGCTCAGAGGTGCCCTCTACCCTGCGATGCAGATCGCGGCTTTGGCGGACAACCCCGAGGGGATTCGCATGCTCTGTGCTGCCGGCGCAGACCCGGTCGGCCGAAACCTCTTTGGCTTTACTGCTTTGGACTCGGCCTTCATTCTTGCAGGTGACGGTCGCCCAAAAACACCACCTTAACACGAGGTAGGATTTTCTGGACTCCCCACGTTGTCTTGCTTTTAGGGTTCCTTCCTAAAATCCTAAGCCCTAAACCCAAAGCCTTAAACACCAGGTGTGGCAGCGCGGGAGGAGCTTCTGAGGCAGATGGACTTCGAAGCCTCTCTTCTCTCTTGTGTGCCTTGGTAGCTTGGGTTTTAGGGTTTTAGGGTTTAGGGTGTTAGAGTGTTAGAGTGTTCGGGTTTTAGGGTTTAGGGTTTGAGAGTTTTAGGGTTTAGGTTTTGGGATGACTTCTTGAAGGGCTTGTAGAGGGGGTTCTGCAAGGCTTTCCCAGGGTTCTTAGGAGCAGAGCCAGGAACCTTTTGAGGGGTGGTATGACCGGTTCCGTAAAGGGTTCCATAAGGGTTACAAGGACTCTTAGTAGCAGAGAAAGTACTCGTTTAAAGGGGTTCCATCCGGGGTTCTTGCAGGGCTCTATAAGGGCTCTTAGTAGTTGAGCAAGTAACGATTTAAGGTTTCTAGTAGGGGTGGGCTTTCAGGGTTCTTGGTAGTAGAGTAGTAACCTTTAATCCCTGAACCCTAAATCCTAAGCCCTAAAACCCTAAACCCCATCATTCCCTACAAAATCTCATGCAGCTCAGCCTTGGAGAAGTGAGGTGTTGCTCACTGCCATGCTGTATCGGGGAGGCACCGCCGAGGCCGTGCAGCGGCTCGCGGGACTTCGTGCTGACATCGACTTCCAGTTTCTGGGTTCTTGTTAAAAGGGATTTTAGGGTTTAGGGCTTAGGGCTTTCTTTTAAATTTAAGTTACCATAACAAGGTTTCCATATTATTTACTATAGATCCCTATTGTGGTAACTTAAATTGAATCCCTTAACAAGAACCCAGGTTTAGTGCCCCTGCAGTTTCTCCCTTCGGCGCAGTGCTCGCGATCATGTCTCTCCAGCACAGACTGGGAAGAGTCACCGCACAGACGGAGCAGTTCTACCACTACCGCGGCATGACTCCGCTCATGGCAGCTGTTTTCTCGTCGCAGCACGAAGGAGCTGCTGCTCTGATTGCAGCTGGAGCCAAGCTGGAACTCAGAAACTGCCGGGGCTTCAGCGCCGCGGACTTCGCGAAGAGGAGGTCTCTGCCAGACTTTCTGGAGCAGGGATTACTGGGTGACCGCCTCGCATGCCAAAGGGTGACCACATTGGCACTCGCCACCGGCACGGGCGGCATAGTTCAATGCACGGTCTGACATGCTAGCTTAGCTTGACTCCTCTGAGCTCACGGTGTTTAATTTTGTATTTAGTTCGAGACGTGCGACGCAGTCTTCAGACATTCTCAATCGTTGAACGTACCATGCACTCACATGTATTGGGTGGGTGTCATGTCATGACCAAGTCATGACGTGAAAAGATACGCTTTTCGTCTTGCGAAGCAGCAGACCATCTACCAGCATCTCTGGTTGCCGTCTGGCAGGCTTGTTTCACTTGCAATCTTGTTCAGTCGCGCCCTCTGATGTGAAGCGACGTGCGGTACTTCAGATCCGTACAAGTCCCAACGAGAGGCACCACCTGCTACAAGCGAACAGATGAAACGTGTGCCAGCGAGAGAGAGCTCTTGCTCTAAACCCTAGACCCCTAAACCCAAAACAAACCCCCAAACCCTAAGCCCTAAACCTTAAACCCTAAACCCTAAACTCCTAAACCCAAACCCCAAACCCTAAGCCCTAAACCTTAAGCCCTAAACTCCAACCCTAACCCGGAAGTAGTTAAGACCCCTCAAGCCCTTGGCCCCAAATCCTGAAGGCTGTCTTCCCAAACCTCTTGGGCACTCGTCTCTGTACTGGGTTCTTGTTAGGGGATTTAATTTAAGACATCATAAAAAAGAAACCCTGTTATTTACTATAGATCCCTATTATGGCAACTTAACTTAAATCCCTTAACAAGAACCCAGTATACCTTCGGAGTCCTATAGTCTTATTTCCAGAGGTTACATAGCAATCTCGGAGTCCGTCACTAACTTGGTAACGCCTCGGCCAGATTGGAAAGGGGCGAGTCCACCAAGCTCAGTAGTCCAAAACCCTGCGCCCAAAGCCTGCGACCTAAACTCTAAACCCCAAAACCCTAAACCAGCCGATGAGTCTTGAAGAGCCCTTAAAGGAGCCCTTACAAGGAACGCTGTTCTAATTCTTCAGGTCAGTACCCACCCCAATTAATGCACTTGTAACCTTACTTACCAGGTCAATCCCTAAACCCTAAGCCCTAAACCCTCAACATCCAATCTGCAGTTGGCCGTTCACGATTCAGCACCACATGGCACTCAGACATTGTCCACAGTAAGCAATAAGCAATGGTTTAGGGTTTAGGGACATACCTAAGCAAAAACCTTAAACCCTAGGACGTTGCAAGAGCTTTCAAGCACGAGACCCCAAACCCAAAGACTTGCAGCAGCGTAAACCTTAACGCCCCGGCCCCAAACCCCAAAGCCATATACCATCCTAAAGCCACAAAGCCCTAAGCTCTAAGCCGTCTATATCTTTAACCCGGATCCCTAAACCCTAGACTTTTCAAGAGCCCTTAACCACAAGCCAGGGAACTCTAAACCCTGAAGCCCTCAAACCCTTGAATCCTAAACCCCTAAA